CCCCGCTTTATTTTCCTATCCTACCTAGCACTAAATGTTTTTGACAAAGTATAGAATTTATTTATTTTAGTTACCACATGTGTCCTGCCTCTGTGAAGACAGGGGTTTTTGTCCGCTTTGTCTACTTTTGTATCCCAAGTGCCTAAAACACATGCTGAATGATTCACTGTTTTTTTTTCTTAGTATGATGAGCATTTGACTCAACTTGAGAAGGATATTTGTACAGCTAAGGAAGCGGCTTTGGAGGAAGCAGAATTGGAAAGCCTGGACCCAATGACCCCAGGGCCTTACACACCTCAGGTGAGTCTGAGGACTAGGGACCTCCCCTCATAGTTTTCTTGTTGGTGTGGGAAGTTGGGAGCGTGTTAACAGATGCATTTACTGAGATACCCTTCTTCTCTGTCCTTCCTCTTCATATGCCTTTCGTGTGCTTTCTTGTCTTCTCAAAGGCTAAGGTGAGTGAGGGCCATGGGTCTCGGTGGCCTCGTTGAGTCCAGAAGAGGCAGGTGTGGGATGAGTGAGTGGGGTGGGGTCGTAGTCGGCTAAGCCGTGTTTCAGAATGCCGGTGTCCCGGCTGCTGGCCAGAGGCGGTCCCTTTGAGTCTCTGCATGGGGCTCTCGGGTCTCTCAAGAGCATCGAGCTCTCAGGCGTAGACATGGGCCACGTCGTCCCTGTGCCTGGTAGATGCTTCAGGTGTCGGTGTAGCGCAGAGGGCACCCACTTTCCTGGATTGACTCCCTCTCCTCGTAAATGAAGACAGGTAATGTTTATGGTGTTCTTAAATCTATGTGCCCAAAGACTAGAGAGGAAGAGTGATAAGAGAATTGTAGAGTTTCTGTCGTGACCCCTGAATATACTCAGTATATTCAATCTGTACTGCACGCTTCGAGGGCTGGCTTATTTGAAGACTAGGACTTACCAGGACATACCTGGTACTCGCTTTCCGTGTTGGTGGCACTGTGGTCAAGTGCAAAGTACAGGACATTTGGCAGAAGACAGGCCTGGATTCGGAGCTCAGCTCTGCTACTGTCTAGGTTTTTGTGAACTGGGGAAGTTAACCTCTGTAACACAGTTTCCTTTTCTCTAAAATGTACTTTTTCAACATTGTTACTAACATGAAATGAGTTAATTGGCCTGGGACACAGTAGACATTTATTAAGTGTTCGTTTCCTTATCTATGTGAAAGTCATCTGCGAAGTTCTCAAAGGCCCTTTCAAATTTAAGCAAATATTTTAATGTGAAATTCTCCCAGTTCCCACTGGAAAACTTTTTTTCGTTCTACTCGGATTTCACTCTGAACTGATAATGCAACCTGTGTGCTCTGTGTGGGATTGTTGCTGTCTGTATGTTATTCATGCACCCTCCCTATCTATCTTTTACTCTCTTTCATCCCAAAACCTAGGTTACTGAAGGGCCAAGTATAAAGAACCCTAAGATACTTCTTCCAGGCCCAGAACAAGGAAAGGCTCTTGGAGTATGTGGGCAGATTGGGTCAGTGGGGGCTTGGGTGAGTGATGTTCCCCAGGAAGGCCTTATTTGCTCATAGGCCCACAGCTTCTTCCAGGCGCTTTCTGGTAAGTGAAAGCCTGGGTTTTAGCCATCATTCCCAGGAGAGTCTAGCCATGATGGCACATGGGTTCCCGTAGTCGGCGACAGCATAAGCCTAGTCCTTTGGTGAGTCAGCGCCTTAGACCCAGAAGTCGTCTTCCTCTCTTCCCTCCCCTCCTCTCTCGCACTGTCTCGAATGGCTGAAGGAAACCTGGCGACTGTTCTCCCGCCTGTGAAGCGTGGGGTGGGGGTCGCGCCTCGTGGCCTCCTCTCATATACCGAGCCCAGCTCGTGATCTAACGTGAGGGCGGGGTACGCGAGTGTCCTTGCTCATTATTAGTGTCGAGCCGAAACGTTAGTAAAGAAAGTTTGCGCAAGTTTGACCTGTCACAATACGCTTGTGGCGTATGGAAACATCATGGTGATCGTGCTGCTCTTCCAGCTGTAGGTGGTGGCAGGCAGGAATTTACTGTCGCTCAGCTCTTTGCACCCAGCTCGTATTGCTTCAGACATCCCGCTGAACACACTGGCCTTACAATTGTTCACTTGGCGGCTTCCCGCATAGCCTTTCATTCCCAGATTTTCTCTTCTGTTCCACAATTAGTTAATCTGTCCTGGAGTCCTTGTAAATGCTGTTTCGCCTTTCTCCAAAACCTTCTCAATTCTAGCCTCGCTTGTTTGCTTCAAAAAAAACAAACCCACGAAGTAACACACATGTTGTTTTTTTGTTGATAACAGTAACGTGTTCGTGGGCGAAAATTGGAAAATATAAAGAAGTTGCCTAAAATTAAGTCCACCACTCAGAAAGAACTAAGCTCTGTGAACATTTTGGTGTTTCTTTTCTATCTGCGATGTGTATTTACACATACACTTTTAAAGTGAAATTGGTCAAGATGGTTTTGTGTCTTGTTTTCACGTCACATTGTCTGATAAGCATTTTATTTCATCAGTCTTTGGAAACTTAGTTTTCGAATAGCTGGATAATGTTTCTGCCGTCAGCCAGGTTTTTAGAGAACTCTCTCCTGTTTCTCCAGCCTGTTGTTTATTGGTCCCTCCCGTCCTCCTGTCACTGAACAGTCCATTTGCTAAGTTTCTGTTCTCTTCAGGAGAGGGACGAGGGAAGGGATCCCTAACTCACTGACTCGCAGGCATTGGGTAAGGCGCTTACACATACCTCTTCAGTGTCCTAACAGCCTCGTGAGACAGACATTATCATCCATGCTTTACAGCTGAGAGAACCAAGGCTTAGAGAGATGAAGTAATCCGTTAAAATTCCTCAGCTAGCAAGCGATGGAGCCAAGACCCAAACCCAGGGTAGTCCACTTCAGAGCCCGTGGTTTTCCACCACACCGTTTCGCCTCATAGCATCCTGCGATGAGTTCGTAAGCCGTTAAGCCACTCCAAGCTCTTGCTGGGATTGAAATTCCCCGGTGCCATTTCCTGTTAGGTATCTCTGAACTAAACGGTCAAAATAGCACTGGTGTGAAGCCCTGGGCCTAAAAACAGTAAGATAAGGCTCGGAAGAAGCGAGGTTGCGGACCAGAAAGGCTGTTGGGGCCGGAAGTGCCCCACGGCCGATGCTTTGCTGCTGCAGGCTTCTGATCGTGTACATTAGATGCCGCTCTGCTAGAGTTAGCGACATTTGTAAGATTCCCCAAAATCTGTTCGGAAAGTTGTTTCAGGCTGTGTTTTCTCTAAATGGATTGGTCTGCGTGACCTTTTTCCGCAGCAACGGTCTAAAGGGGAGTTCTCTGTGTTTCCTGCTCCCTTTTCCCGATGCAAGCTAAGTTGTGTGATTTGTGCCACAGCCTCCTGATCTGTACGACACCAACACGTCCCTCAGTATGTCTCGAGATGCCTCTGTCTTTCAAGATGAGAGCAATATGTCCGTCCTGGATATTCCCACTGCCACCCCAGAGAAGCAGGCGACCCAGGTAGGACGTTCCTTTTTTCCGCATGCGGTTGGTAGTATGCTTTGGGGTAGAGAATAGAGAAAGTGTGGGGGTTAACACACGGGTCAAGGATAATTGAGCTCCTTGGCCCTGGGGACGAAGGCTTAAGAATGTGATTTCAAGGTGGGTCGATGGCAGGTCACATGACTGGCATTGTCCGCTGTCCGTCCCCACGGGTAGAGTCAGGGCGCACACAAGTGCGGGGAGTGTATGGGGACATCAGAGTAACCTGGCAGGTGACTAGAAAGACCAACCGCATTCAGAGACAGTTCCAAATCATTTCCCTGCTACTGTGTGGATGCTGTGATCAAAACGACAGTTATTTATAAAATTAGATTGAATTGTTCCAATCGGCCTTTTCCAGCGGTATCAGAAGGTTCTCCTGAGCCGAGGCCCGAAACCCTGTCAGCTGATCTCAGGGCTCCACCGAGGGGTTCTAGCCCAGAGCCCAGCCGAAGCTGAGGAAAGCTTAGCTTAAAAAGGAAGAGTCTTCTTTGATGCCACCGTAAGAGTAGACAGGACCTTCCTGTCCTTCCAGGCTTCACCCTGCCTGTGATTCCCGCAGAGCGGCGGGGCAGGCGCCCGGGCCTTGACCTGTGGGAACAGCCCCCAGAAGCCGCGGCCTGGCTGGGCTGTCGGGGAGGAGCATCCGTCCCGGGCGAGAGCCCTTGTTATGTCCACCTGCAGCCACGGCCCTCAGTGATGTGCTATTTGTGTTCCTTACTCAGATGCACCAGGGCTGAGGTAGGCTGGGCGAGGAAGACTCTGATGTAGATATTGAAGGGTATGATGATGAGGAGAATGGGAAACCTAAGACTCCAGGCCCAGTGAGTATGTTCACAGAAAGCTTATGGTTACTTATGCCCTGACATGGTAGGAGCCCCCCAGTACAGGACAGGCCAAGCCCCAGGGCCGCAGCAGAGAGTCTCCGACTTTAATCCTTGGAACCAGCCAATAAACGAGTCTGTCCACCAACATTACTTGACTTCTTGTGAGGCAGCAAGCGGCGGGGCTGGTGGTGGCTTCTGGTCTCTTACTTGGGCGGTGATGGGACCTTGACCCCCAACTGGTCTTATTCAGGAAGGTGAAGAAGTAGATGGCGATCTTGCAGATGAAGAGGAAGGAACTGTGCAGCAGCCTCAAGCCAGTGTCCTGTATGAGGATTTGCTTATGTCTGAAGGAGAAGACGATGAGGAAGACGCGGGGAGTGACGAAGAAGGAGATAATCCTTTCTCTGGTAAGTCTTGCTCTTCTGCTTCTGTTCCTGTGTAGCTCACCATAGCCCCCTCAGGACGGCGTAGGACGCTCTTGGCTACAGGTGCTGTTACCAGCCCCGCGAATAGGCCTCAGAGGGCCGAGCGCTCACTCGGAGGATGATGGCATTTATTAACCTTAGCGGACATGAAGGAATGCAACACAGGAGGTAGGTATACAAGATGACAGCGGAAAAGGCAGTGTCTCAATAGCAGCTTTGATTGGAATACTTGTTAAAAGCGAAAAGGAAGCGCCGTATGCGGCGGTAGGGAAGGGAAATTGACACAGAAGGTCCTGCTTTGAGAGATCTCGTGGGTCGGCGGCTGTGGCGGGTGGGCGGCGGGGGTGGGGTAGAGGAGATGATGGGGGAGCAAA